ATTTTTGGCAAGGCCCGAAAACGTCTGGCGAGGTCCGAGGAAGGACCCGCTACGAACCACGACCACTGTGCTGCATTATTCGGATGAGAAGCAAAAGGAGAGGCGAGGAGAGCTGCAGCCTCGATCGGAGGCGTTCTCCGACGCAGACATACGAGCTCGAACAAGGGGATGATGAGGAAGAGGAGGCTCTGGAGACTCTGGATGACAACGAGGTGTGCCGAGAACGATGCACCGAGCCAAGAGGAGAAAGAGGAGGAAGAGGAAGAGGAGGGATAGGAGGAAGAGGAGGAATGGGAGGAGGAAGCGGAGGACCAGCAGCAGCAGCAACAGCAGCAGCAGTACCGCGCACAAGCGCCACTGATATGTAGCTTCTAAGGAGAAAGCTTTCAGCAGGGGGAGGAGGAGGAAGAGGCCCGCGGACAACACCCCCTTCAGCAACGCATCCTGGATTTAAATCGGCCTTGGAACCAAACCCGCAGAAACGGTTGCTGCATCACCCCCTCCAGACTCTAGAAGCCAATATTGGATCCCACGGGCGAGTTCGCTAATCGACTTGGCAGAATGGGGGCTCCTGCAATCCCCGGTTTCAGAGTACCCGGAACGACAGGTCACTCCAGAACGCTCCCTGCTACCTTCAAGGAGAAGTGCAGGAGCAATACGGCTTGTGAGACGTCCCATCCGACGCCACGACTTCGTCGTGATGTGGGGCTCCCAAGCTTTCCCCGCCCCTTCCACACTAAGATCGGGGCCCAACTTTTCACCCCGAATACTTGATTTGACAACCCTGCGCCTTGCTCCGCACCCAGACAATCAAACCCGTCACCAGGCTCATCCCGGACTCGCCCGTCTCGGGGGGCAGAAGCACCTCCGCGGCGGCCACCAGAAGCGGGGCATCAAGTCAGGGGCGGTCCCACTGGGGGCTTCGGTGGAGTTCCCTATGGGGCCACGAATCGCTGTACTGGGAGGGTGAAAAATTCCTAATTGTGTGTGTGTCTGTGTGTGTTTGTGTGTATGTGTGTGAGAGAGAGTGTGGGGGGGGGACGCATGCGGGCGGTCCCACTGGGGGCTTCGGTGGAGCTCCCTAATTATGGGGTCACGAAGTGTTGTACTGGGTGGATGAAACGCAGGGGGGAGGGAGGAGAGGGAGGAAGGGGAGGAGGAGGGCGAGGAGGAGAAGAGGAGAACGCGGAGCACCGTCTCTTCAAAACGAGGACCCGACTCCACAGGATGGTTGGGAAACGATCAGGACGGAAAATGTTTGGCTATTTTCGGCCCCAGGGAGCCCTCGCCGCCGGGCCTCGGGACCGTCAGAAAAAAACGACCCAGGACGAAAAGCCGGCCCCGGGGAAAGGGTCGGGATTTCCAGGGTCGCCGTCCCGAAAACTTCAGGACGCCGCATGTCTGGGTTCGTCCCGTAGCCGCCCCGACACGCAACACGCAGCCCGTAGCGTGTTGACGCGGGGCTCAGCACGCAGGCTGCAAACGCAGGTCTGGCGCGATGCGTTCGCCAGAACGTGGGCCAGCACATGCCGAGCCAACGCGCAGCGTGTTGACACGCAGGTTCCGAACACGGCGCGCGTGGCGCTTCAGCGCGGGCGCAGCAGGGCAGCTACGCTTCGTACTGCTGTTGGTCAAGGCGTTGGAGGGTGTGGGCCCGCCTCCTGGCACAGGAGGCGGCGGAGCCTACGTCCCCCCCCGTCGGCGGCGAGCAGAGGGAGGTAGGGGGAGGCAAGGGGAAGGCTCCTTTCAGAAGAAGGCTGCTTCCTGGAAGGCGCCGGCCTCACACTTCTAGGTCAGGCCCGCGCCTGCTGAGATGCAGGGGAGCTTCTAAGATGCCCTCCTCCCCCTACCCCCCCCCCTGCGCGTGTCCGAAGCTCAGCGGGGTAAGCGACACGCTTCCCCGCTTTGGGAAACAACAAAAAATACAACAGCTGCAGGAGGGGGCCCTTGCGGCCAGGAATCTCGGGGGGGAATCTCCGTCGGGGGCTCCCGGCTTGGACAAGAAGACACCGCCCTCCCTCCGCGCAGCGGTTTGGTACGATCCACTCTCGGGCCTTCTCTTCGGTCTCAGGAGGTCTCCGGCGACCCTCCTCCTCCTCCCTCTCCTCCTCCTCCTCCTCCTCCTCCTCCTCCTCCTCCTCCTCCTCCTCCTCCTCCTCCTCCTCCTCCTCCTCTCTGCTGTGGCCGGCCCTCCTGGGAGGAGCAGGAGAGCCCGCCCGCGGCCCTGGGCGAGCGCGGCCCCTGCGGCCGAGCCCTCGCGGCGGTCGGCCCGGCCCGCGGCTCGCGGGCGGTGCCCCAAAGAAAAGCTCAAACGGGCGAAGACGGAGACGAAGAGGACGGCCCAGACATGCTCGCGTCGAATAACAAAAAATCGGGACGGGAGGTTTTTGGCTGCTTTCGGCCCCGGGGGGGCGCTCGCCAAGCCTCGGGACCGTCCAGGGCTTGGCGGCGCGCATTAGGGGGTGGAGGGAGGGGGGAGGGCTTCTTGGGAGGAGGCTGCTTCTTAGAAGGCGCCGGCCTTACATCTATAGAGAAGGCCCGCGCCTTCCAAGAAGCAGGGGTGCTTCTAAGACGCCCTCCCCTCTCCCCCCAACCCCCCTCTGCGCGTGGCTGCAGGGCCCAGACATGATCGCGTCGTAAAACAAAAAGTCAGGACGGGAAGTTTTGGGCTGTTTTCGGCCCCGGGGGGGGCGCTCGCCAAGCCTCGGGGCCGTCCAAATACGACGCAGAACGGAAAGCCGGTCCTTGGGAACTGGGGGAGACCTCTGGCAGGAGGAGGATCCAACCTCGGACGTCGTGATTGCTGCACGGCGTGAGCCACAGAACTCGCACCACTCATCCCTTTATTTTCCTTCGCTTCTGCTGCTTCTCCTCTTCATTCTTCTCCTTACCCTCATCCCTCCTGGATCCCTCCACAAGCCACGTGAAGCCCGAAGCATCACCAAAAAGTCTAGCAGCAACCTTCTCAGCCTAGGCCTTCTCCCTCTCCCTTTGCCTTCCCTTCCACTCCTTCTCCTGATCATCTTCCTCCTCCTCCTCCGACTTCTCCTCTCTACTCTCCTCTCCCCTGGCCCCATATCTGGAAGATGTCCCGACTTTCTATGCGTAGTGTTCTCACACGTTCATCATGCCAATGTATTTCTTATGTGTTTGCTCCACTCCGATCGATTTCGGTCCTTCAAAATGGTGTCCCTGCTGCAACCCTGGCCTCAGTTTCCGCGCTTCCGGTCTTTCAAAATCGTGCTCTCGACTGGTGTTCTGGCTGCAGCGCTGGCTTCAACTCCGTGGTTTCGGTCGTTAAAAAAAACGTGGCTCCCATTGCAGCAGCGGCCTCCTCTCCAAGTTGTCGGTCCGCTAGCATGGTTTCCCAACTGCACGTCAATGTTATGCGATGTGCCGCTATTATGCGTGTTCATTCCTTGCTCCGCCACGCTGCGGTACGCAAAACTGGGCTACGCAGTTTCAAGCCATGTTGTTATGTCACGTTCCATGCCATGGCATGCCATGCAATACTGTGTTATGCAAGGCTATACGATGTCATGCCTGGCGCTGCAATGCTGTGATGTGCAACGCTTGGCTACGCCATGCAGCACCATGCTATGCCATGCCACGCCCTGCTGTGCTCTCCAACACTATTATGTGCCGTGCTATGCCATGCCTTGCATCGCGTACCAATTGGGGATCGTTGCCCTCTTGAACATCCGACTTTACGAATATAGGGTATCTGCGCAATCGTAAGGGGATCGGAGGGAGGAAACGACGACAGATATGATGCGATTGCACCTTGCTTGCCTCTCTCCTACCTCCTGTTCCTCCTCCTCCTCCTCCGCCGCTGTCCTCCTCCTCCTCATCCTCCTCCTCCTCCTCCTCCTCCTCCTCCTCATGTTCGTCATCTTCTTCATCATCATCATGATCATCATCATCGTCGTCATCGTCATCGTCATCGTCATCGTCATCGTCATCGTCATCATCATCATCATCATCATCACCACCACCACCACCACCACCGTCATGCCCCTCCTCCCAGGACCAGCGCCGACGCCGGCGGGAAGCTGCCTGTCCCCAGGACCGCCGTGTCATGCTGAGTAGCTGCTTGCTGGCCCCAGGGCCCTGGCAAGGGCACCTGCAAGTCTTTGAGCAGGGACCGACCGTCCCGGCATTCCTATAGTCATACCACGAAATGTTCTTAGAACCTAACAATGTTCTAAGAAGATAAACAATCTTCTTAGGACATAAGCTCGATGTGATCAAACAAGACAATCCCAGCCAGACATGTTCTGAGAACATCTCGCGGGAACGTCGAAAAAGATTATTCGAACAGTGCTCGGTAGGGCTAGAGGCGAGCCGGGGCGCTTCGCCACTGCTCGAAGTCTGCCTCCGGACGCCGTCCGGACCCGCAAGGGGAAGCGACGCCGGCCGCGGCGACGGGACGCCTCCACAGGAAGCCCAGCTGCGGACAAACCACGCTCGTGAGCAGAGGAACGGAGGACTGCATAAACACAAACAACGCTCGTGAGTCGAGGAACGAAGCGAAGCCTAACTGAGGACAAACAACGCTCGTGAGCAGAGGAACGAAGGACTGCATAAACACAAACAACGCTCGTGAGTCGAGGAACGAAGCGAAGCCCAACTGAGGACAAACAACACTCGTGAGCAGAGGAACGAAGGACTGCATAAACACAAACATTCGGCGCTGTTCCCTGGACCGGCGCTGGACCCCCTCCCTGGCGCGCGGAGCGCGCCAGGAGCGTCGCCGCGTCGCCGGAGGCGCCGCCAGGGGTTCCCGCGCGATCCACAAGATCCGCGCGGAGCTCTGGTTGCTGACGGCTCTGCAAGTTGTTCTTCTTCGAGGGAGGGCAGCCGTTGGCTCGGCTGGCCCTCCTCTGACCGTCCTCCCCTCCCGCCGCCATGGGCCCGAGGGCGGGTCTCCTGGCTGCCCTGCTGCTGCAGCGCCCCCCGGAGGGGCCGGCATCTCCAGCAAGCGCGCCCGGGCCGGGGTCTCACTCGCTCCTGTGGGGGCGGGGGCGGGGGGGGGTGCGTACCCTCCTGCTCCTCCTCCTCTCGGGGGTCCCGAAACGGTGCGGTGATACACAGACCGCGCGGTGAACTCGAAGTCCCCAAGCAACCTCATAGCACGGTCCGTCGGGGGACGGTGTTGGGACCTTGGAGGCCCCGGTCGCCCGAGACATCTTGACCCAAGTCCTAAAGCCGTGCGCTCTACTCGAATCCCCGCTCATTCACCCGACTGCGGAAATTAAAGGGTCCGGCACAGCTACTCCCTGGACCTCTCCCGGGGTGCGTTCTGACTGAGATTTCGAGGCGAATCCAGCGGTGGCGACGATGGCCTCCCAGAGGACCGAAACAGGGAAAATGGGCGAAGGGTAGCAATATATGCACCTTTTCCTCCCCTGACTGACGGTGTGGTCACTGCACCGTTCTGGGGCATCCTCGGAGGATTCGCACGCTTACATCGCACAGCGCAAACGAGGAGGAGGAGGAGGAGGAGGAGGAGGAGGAGGAGGAGGAGGAGGAGGAGGGGGAGACGGAGGAGGAGGGGGAGGGGGAGGAGGGCCTCGAGAAGAGGCTCCCGAGGGCGGGGTGGGGCTCCCCGAAGCCCCTCTGGAGAACTCGGAGGGCACCGGAGGTCCCGCACGAGGCCTCGGGAGGCTGCACATGAGCGCCACAACAGCTGGGTCCTACCTACAGTAGGGGCTCGACCACAAGAATGGAGGGACCCCAGGACACATCAATAAATACACACAAAGAAACAGATTCCCCATATTTTGCAATGTTTTCTGGGCTTTTGTCTTCCCCCCCCCACTTCCCATGTTTTCCCATATTTTCACGGGGATCGACGATTCATTGTGTCTGTGTGTATTTTTCCCTCCTGAAAGAACCCTTGCACAGGAAAGCTAACCCTGAGACCCAAGGACGTCCACTGATTTTTTGGTGTGGGAGCGTTGCGCTCTCCATAGCAAAACCATCGAAGCCCAGGAAACCCAGGGCATCCTGGAGGCAAACGGGGTGTTTCTCGGCATGGGTTTCCACTGTAGATCATCGTAACCAATTGGGAGGACCCGGCGGGAACGGCCTTCCAAGAGCTCCGGGGGGCTTCTAAGAAGGAGAGGGGCTTCTGAAAGGTCCTCCTGGCCTATGAGAAGCACTCCCGGGACACTCCCGGGCCCTTCCCACGACGCCCCTGCCTTCCGAGGCGCCTCCCCTCGCGGCACCCCCCAAGAGCGCGCCGCCGAGGCGTCGCCGCTGGCGCCGGCGTCGCCGCCCTCTCTCTGCGCGCCCGTGCGGGTGGGTGGGAACAAAAATTGGGGGCGACGCCGGCAGCAGCGCGTGCCGCTCGACGCCGGCAGCGGCCGCTGCTGGAGAGGCGACGCCCGCCCGCGCCCAGATGGCCAGCGCACGCGGAGGCAGCGACCGCGGTTCCTGTCCAGAAGGGGCAGGGACTGCCGTCGACGGTCCTCCCCGTCCTGCCCGCCCCTGCTTCGGAACGGACGGAGAGAGTCCCTGCAGGAGCGGGCGCCGGATCCCATGGGCGCTGCCCCAGAACACGCCTTGCATCCCGAGTCGTTTCCCGAGGGTCCTGGTGGCGATCGAGGGCTGCACGAGCGAACCCTAAAACGGCTCCTGCATTGTACCTCTTGGTGTTCATCCCCCCGGGACCGCTTTGAGGAGCCTTGTGGGAGGGCAAAGGGATCCGGTTTATTAAGCCAACTTTTGACACACCGAGCACGGGAGGTCGAGTAGTAGGATAACTTCCAATGCCCATCTTCATACGCATACTTACGTCCACCTCCGTCCGCTCTTCATCCTACTCTGTTGGCACTCATCAGCAGCATCCTCTTCATCGGCATGGCCGTCGCCGACATAATAACGACAATTACGCACATCTACCAACCATTGTTTCCATCCTCTTTGGCGTACGCGTATTCACTGAAGATACCTCTACGACCCCGAAGTACGATCTATTATCCACGAAGTGGCAACTCCCTGATGTCCGCACTAGCCCTGTCGTCAACGCTAATCTCGCAGCCAGCGCAACGTTTTCATTTCAAAGGTTGGTGGCCCATTCTTCATTTGGATAAACTCGCGGACCAAATCGAGATCTATTATTCTTTCACGGTCACCGTATTACTGCAATCGTATCCGCAAACCTTGCCGTGCCGTCGTCATCACCGTCACCACCGCCCTCATGAACATCGCTGTTCAACTGTCACCTCGGACTCAAAAGGTGCCCGAAAGTTGCGCCGTCCGCCGGGGACCGGACCACATAGGAATGTACGTTGAGGATTCGTTGCCCGCGGACGCCCACATTGAAGCCGAGGCTGAAAGCCCGTGGCCCATGGCTGAGGGCTACAATCGATCGGAACGACCAGAATTTCTTGCGATGAGACGCCTGGGTGCACACCTTCTGATGCGGCTTGGCTGCATCTCGATTGGAAGGGATCGTTTGGGGGGGGGGGCCCTGGCTCAGGGGGGGAAAGCATCGACCAGGAAGTGGCGAGACATCACCGATCGACTGGCGATGGGCAACCACTAGCAAATCTGGACCTTCCTGGGTGGGGTGGGCTATCGAGCACCTATCGGTGCTCAGTAGGCGATTGGGGGTCGATGCGCCCCCCCCTGAGCATGTCTCCACCCAGCGTTGCCGCTGACTCAGGCTTCGGTTTTCGGGCCATAACTCGGGCCTCAGGCGGCCGTTTGGGAGCATCCCGGCGTACCCCGAACGCTCTCAGGGGCGCGGCTGCTGGAAAGCACCCAGAGGCGAGAACATTTCCAAGAAACATCTCACGACTACCGTCGAAAACTTTCGCAGACGAGGACGAGGAGGACGCGGGGGTCGATGCATCATCCCCCCCTGACCCAGTCCCCCTGGGGCGTCGGCTTTCGGGCCATAACTTTTTCCTCAGGCCTCAGGCGGCCGCTTCAGAAGATCCCGGCGCCCCCTGAGCGCCCTCGGCGAGGCGCAGCTGCCGGAAAGCTTTCCGAGGGCAGAAAAGTCACAACAAGCGACGAACACTTGCAACAACTTGCAAAACCTTGCGAACATGCGCCTGCCCTTCCGCCGTGATGTTTCACGGCGGAAGGCTGCCTCACCTGCCCTGCCGAGCAGCCCATCCAACCAGAAGCAGCCCCCGCGCTTGGGAGGCGGCCAAGGGGTCTGAGCTGGTGGGCCCCTGGAAGATCTGCCACGACGAGCGGATTAGGGCAAATCCGCTCAAGATCTATTCCTGGACCCCTTCCGGGGGTCCCTCTGGTGCAGTTCTTCACTCTGGATCCGTCTGTGACAGTCCCGGGCCCCGAAAATAACAGCGCCCAGAGGCCGAAGGGGCAAAACACATTGAAGGGGCCCTGGGACACACAAATGAATACACACAAATGACAGGATTCCCCATATTTTTCAATTTTTTCTGGGTTTCGTCTTCCCCCCCACTTCCCATATTTTCCCATATGTCCGAAGGAATCGACGATTCTTGCGTGTGTGTGTGTTTTCTCCCGAAGTAACATCGCCCAGAGGCCGGAAGGGGCAACGCACACTCTCGAACCCAGAGCCTCGGACCTCGCCCACCCGTTTGCTCTGCCTGGCCGGACCGAGCGCATGGCCGCCTCCGGACCCCCAGCCAGCTCCAACCCTGATCGACTAGGGGAACAAAAAGTGGCATAAACATAAAGACTCGGAGGTCCGCGCGGATTTCTCGGATCGGCGCTGGACCCCCCTCCCTGGCGCGCGGAGCGCGCCAGGGGCGGCGCCGGAGGCGCCGCCGGGGGGCCCCAGCGCCGATCCGAGAATCCGCGCGGACCTCCGAGTTTTTATGTTTATGTCACTTTTTGTTCCCCTATCGACCCCCCCCGCCCGCCCCTGTCGAGTAGGACATCGACGACAGAACTGATCTACCCCAGAATGGAATGTCTCGCAGAGGCTGCACAGTGTACGTCGAACGTTCGCAGACTTACGAACATTCTCAGTACAGCCAGCCCGTATCATATCACAAGGATGCGCGGTAAGGATGCAAGGGCCTTGGACGGCCGTGTTAACGTTTTTTGAACGATCTTGGCCAACGAAAGTGGCCAAGGATGGACCGAGCAGGCAAGGATGCAAGGGCACCCTTGGGAAGGTTGCCCATCCTTACCATGCGGTTTGCCCATACTTTCTCGTAAACTTAGGTCGGGCATGTCCCCCTAAAGGCGGATGTTGGAATCATTTTTCATGACTCAGAGAACACTCAAAACTAGTCCATAATAGTCAAACAATCGTCCCCAGACTATTTCTGGACTATTTCCGACTACTCCTCCTGTAGAGGGACATGCCCGACTTAATCGTAGACTCGACGGACATACAACAAGTACTGGGGCACATCAGTTCTGCAGTCGATCTCCTGGTCCGCGTCCTGCCCCGACCCTGGCCGCCCGCGCCCCCTGGCGCGGCTGCCTGCCGCTCCGCCTGGCGCCGAGGGGGCCGAGGGGGCCGAGGAGGAGGAGGAGGAGGAGGAGGAGGAGGAGGCAAAGGAGAAGGACGAGGAGGGCAAGGAGGAGGAGGAGGAGGACGAGGAGGAGGAGGACGAGGAAGAGAAGGAAGGAGGAGGAGGAGGAGGAGGAGGGGGAGGAGGAGGAGGAGGAGGAGGAGGAGGAGCAGGAGCAGGAGCAGGCGCAGGCGCACGAAGAAGACGGATGGGGGGCGCATGCGCTGCGACCCCGCCGAGCGCCGCGCGCGCCGAGGGCGGTGCGCACACGGCGCGCCGGCGGCGCGCGCCTCTTTAGCGGAGCCACCCCATCCGACGCCCGCTGCCTTCCGCCGACCTCCCGCCGACCTCCCGCCACCTTCCGCCGCGGAAGAGGTCCCAGACATGCGACGTCGAGGTCGGCGGAAGAGGCCGCGGCGGAAGGGCGGCGGAAGGTCGGCGGAAGCAAAACGAGGCCGCCTCCGCCGGCAGAAGCCGGCGGAAGGGCGGCGGAAGGCGGCGGAAGTATAAGCTACGCCCCCAAGAGATGAGAACGTCTTTGGGTTCAGGGCGTCGCCCATATATACCCAGACATGCGACGTCCTGATTTTTTCAGGACGGCGTCCCCGGAAGTCCCGACCCCTTCCGAAGGACCGGTGTTTCGTCCCGAGTCGTTCTTGTGACGGCCCCGAGGCCCGGCGAGGGCCCCCCGGGGCCGAAAATGGCCAAAAACCTCCCGTCCTGATGCCTGTGCGGACGCGAGCACGAGGAAGAGGAGGAGGAGGAGGAGGAGGAGGAGGAGGAGGAGGAGGCAAAGGAGAAGGACGAGGAGGGCAAGGAGGAGGAGGAGGAGGAGGACGAGGAGGAGGAGGAAGAGAAGGAAGAGAAGGAGGAGGAGGAGGAGGAGGAGGAGGAGGAGGAGGAGGACGTCTGGGATGGCAGCGCCTCCCACCCTTCGAGTGCGGGGCCCTCTCTGGAGCGCCCCGGCGGGCAGACCTCGCCGCCCGGCAGCACCTCGGGGCCTCTCGGTGCGCGGCCCTGGCCTCGCCATCGCTCGGACGTCCATTCCATGTGTTTTTTTCGGTTTCGTGCGTGGTTTTTTCGCCAAATGATCAAAGATGCTCCTCGATAGTTTTCGCCGAGGGAAAAATGCACACGTCCGAGCGATGCCAAGTGGCTCTGGGGCTCCTAGCTGCCCCGACACGCAGCACGCAGTACGCATCGCACTGATACGGAGCTCAACACGCAGGCTGAAAACGTAGGTCAAGACCTCGATACACTCGCCAGAACGTGGTCCAATACGTGGAGCCAAGTCGCAGCGTATTGACACGGACGTCTTGGAACACGGGACGTACTGCGCTTCAGAACGGGCGTATCGAGGCAACTAAGCTGGGGCTGCGTCTGCGGGCGGAGGGGGGGTGATAGGGCAGGGCCTGTCTTCCACCACCACCATCACGAGTCGGAGGGGGGAGGGGGGGGGGAGGGCGAGGAGGAGAAGAACGAAGAGGAGGAGGAGGCGGAGGAGGACCTCCTCCCCCCTCCCCCTCCAACTGATGGTGGTGGTGGTGGTGGACAACAGGCCCGTTCAGGATAGGGCAGGGCCAGGCTCCGCGGCGGAGGGCGGGGCGGGGTAAGCTTGGAGTCCCGAAGCGGTGCGGTGACAGACCGTGCGGTGACCTCGAAATCCCCCAAGACCTCACCGCACGGTCCGTCAACGCGCGGTGATGGGACCTCGGATGCCCCAGTCGCCCGAGACGTCCTCGGAGAACGACCCGAGTCCCAAAACCGTGCGGTGACCCCGAATCCGCACCGACTCACCACACGGTATGGTCACCACCCCGTCCTGTGGGTCCCCGAATAAGGGGGGAAAGGGGAGGCGCGGGCGAGACGGACCGGTGCCTCCTCCAGACAAGATCGGGTCGCCCCAAAAAAATCAGGAGGGGAAATGTTTGGCTATTTTCGACCCTAGGGGGGCCTCGCCGGGCCTCGGGACCGTCAACAAACGACTCAGGAGAAAAATCGGTCGTCGGGACTTCCAGGGACGTCGTCCTGAAAAAATCAAGACGTCGCATGTCTGGGCCCAGGTCCCTTCGA